CTTTGACGCCACAGCTCATGCATCGGCAGGACAGTCGCTAGTGAAAGGCTGTGGGACTGTGCATGTTCATGTGATGCCAACAGCCAATCAGTTGCAATTCTTCCTGTAGCTCCAAAGTGATTTGTCATAGCTCAAATGATTGGCTCAAAAAAAGCAAAGATGGCAATATGCAACCAACCAGCTTTATTCATTAAATATTCAAAAACAAGACAGGGAAATGAATAAAGCAATTTAGAGCAGAAATACAAAACAATATTAAATAAACATGGGATATAAATCAATAAACTCTGCTTTAGTAGTGTTTTTGCAACCTCTGGCAAAATGTAAACAGAAATTTGGGTCACAAAAAAACATGCATTTAATGTGGATAGTGTCTGCCTTATTAAAATAAGCAAACTCATTAAAGGTAAAGTATGTATGTAAGCATTTATGTTTTGCTAGTGGAAGTCAGCCTCTGCTGATAGATGTCATAATTACAGCATTATGTGAACAAGGAGCATTCAATATAAAAAAGCCATGTATTCTGATGTGTTCTGGAAACCTCATATCTTTCCCTTTCCTCCCTTTGACGCCACAGCTCATGCATCGGCAGGACAGTCGCTAGTGAAAGGCTGTGGGACTGTGCATGTTCATGTGATGCCAACAGCCAATCAGTTGCAATTCTTCCTGTAGCTCCAAAGTGATTTGTCATAGCTCAAATGATTGGCTCAAAAAAAGCAAAGATGGCAATATGCAACCAACCAGCTTTATTCATTAAATATTCAAAAAAGTGTACTAACTGAAAAGTACACTGCAAAATAAATAAATAAATACATACATACAAATAGAAGTAGCTGAGGTAAATACTAATATATTTGTCATAAACAAAAATATAAAACAGCAACATGGTAATATACAACACTAATATAATAGTATAAACCTTAATTTAGAAACATAAGATATAATATAAAAACCCAATATATATAGGCCTAACTGATATATATACAGGTGCATCTCAATAAATTAGAATGTCGTGGAAAAGTTCATTTATTTCAGTAATTCAACTCAAATTGTGAAACTCGTGTATTAAATAAATTCAGTGCACACAGACTGAAGTAGTTTAAGTCTTTGGTTCTTTTAATTGTGATGATTTTGGCTCACATTTAACAAAAACCCACCAACTCACTATCTCAACACATTAGAATACTTCATAAGACCAATAAAAAAAAAATTTTTTGTGAATTGTTGGCCTTCTGGAAAGTATGTTCATTTACTGTACATGTACTCAATAACTTGGTAGGGTCTCCACAACATTCTAATTTATTGAGATGCACCTGTATATATAAATGTGAAGTGTGAATACACTGGAAATCTGGGAATGTTAATTCACATTTTTGCACTGCAAATTGTAAGATGACTTGATCTTTTTCACTTCCAAAAATATTTATTTAACAGGATTTTGCTGTAAAATTACACAAAATGTCCCATTAGATTTATAAATTTTTTTACAGTATAAAGTAAGGCAATATACTGTTAACCAATTAACAGGTTTTACCGTAGCATTTTTACCATAGTTGCCACAGTTTTTTGCCATGGTTCTTGAATCGATATGCCCCTCACTTAGAAAGTCAGCTTAAAGCACCAACAAACCTACTTAACTCAAATAAAAGGATGCCAAGTGTTTTTGTTACTGTCAGTGGTGCTGCTACCTGCTACCAGTGCAAGAAATTAAAAATAAAAAACTCTAAAACTGAGCATTATCCTACCTTTATTCTGTTTGCCCCCTTACTAAGGACATAAACGGTTCCCTATAAGACTCAATAGGTATTGTGGGGTAAAGCACATTTGTTTTAGCTGGAGCCTGAGTCAAGGTGCCACAGAGGACAAAGAGAGAGTCGCATTAAAGGGGTCATATGATGCGATTTCAAGTTTTCCTTTCTCTTTGGAGTGCTCTGTTCCCCTTTCGGGCTCTGTCTTTACATTTATTTTAAAGATGAAGCTCGCGATTATGGTAAGGGGCGTTACATTTCCGACGCGTGCTTGTCTCCGCTTCCGAAGATGCACGAGTTCAAAGCGACTCTAGCCGAACATGCACGTCTGTGCCAGCATTTGTGTGAAACAGAAGCAGTTTGATGTTAAGTGCTCACACACAGACAGATCACGTTGCGGCCGAACTCAGACATACAGGAACAAACTTTTTAGCGCTGCCCCGCAGTTTTATCAACTAAATAGCTTAATCGCTCAAGAGCTATATATTATCTTTCTCAACAACGAGCTGGTAACATCATCGTTTCTAAAGGAATTAAAGCCACAGCTTTACTGTTAATAGAGAAACGCGGCAAAACGGTGGTAATTCATACATACACAGCCTCTCTCTCTCTCTCTCTCTGTGTGTCGTAAATGAACAGTTGATGAATTACACTTTTCTGAGGATAGAATATTGAAGTGGAGATCGCTAAATTGCAAGCTAACCGCTGTTTTCAGAAACCAAGCGCGTTTATCCACAGTGGAGAGACTGCACGTGCACACGGTTGCCAGGTTGACAAAGATAAGTAACACACTTAGCAGATATTTCCGTATTGCGCAAGTGTAAAGCTCTGTTTTGGGGATTACGTCTCTTTATATCAGGCAACCCAGTTGTGTTCCTCTGCGGCCTATATATGCTCTATTCATTCTTTTTTAGAAACCTCGCACTTTTCTACTCAATTTTAAACGTAAAATTTTAAACAAATTAAGCGCGGTCCACTGCTGCACACGTGTACACAAAATAATGTTCTTTTTAGCAACATCATATGAACCCTTTAAGTCATCATTCCTTCCGTGTCACAACTGCACCTAGGGGCACTTATCACCTAGAGAACAATGGGAAGACACAGCGAATAACCAATCCGCAAAGTGTAAAACACAAGCAGGAAGCACAGATGAGCAACTCTAAGATGATGTGGGATCTTTTTTTCAGGTGCATTACACCTGTATGGTGCAATCTCTATGACTAATATAATGGCACGCTCTCAGTCTCACCCACTTGCTCAACATGGCCGGCCTCTGCTGCGCGTCCCATTACTGACACCATGCCTGGAAGACCTGCCATCCTCAGTCAGCTGCACGGGGGATAACGTTTCAGTCTCTTAATGCTCCTAACAAGCATGTTCCCCTTGCAACAGAGTGTCAATACCAGTCCACAAAGTCACCCCTCCAGAGTCTCCTTCCACTAGGAAACACATCAAATGCACACACTTATCCACAGCCCCATTTTCATTTCTTCTTGGAAACGGGATATAGTGAGATATCACTTGGCACAACATACTCATTCCCAATGGCCCAACAACGGGTTGTCATCAGCCACTGGTAGGGAAACACTGACGACGCAAATCAGTCAGGTTTATACTTATACATCATATCCCAGAGAAGACAACAAGGCTTAATCAAGGCTTCCCAACAGCAGGTGATATAAACACAGGCCTGATTGCGTTTTAACAACTTCCATCCAAAGAGGATGAACTATAGTGTCAGTTTCAGACAGACACTGCTTTGCTGGAACGCTTGTACATGTAGGTAATTAAATGGTAATGAAGACTGGTGACTTCACAGACGTCATTAACCCTTCTCATTTAAAATTACTAACAAGTTCAACACAGTCTCATCCGAACGAGAAGGCACATGTAATTCATTCATATCAACAATTTAAATGCGAGAAAACCCCACAGCCAAGGTTGTTGACAAACTAGCAGGGAGACAAACCATCTAATCTATCTTTTAAGTCATTCCCAGACAGATATCTTAGTCGGTAGATACTAATAGGGATTAAAGTGTATTGGCTGTTTGAATCCAGGCCTCATGTGGTTAATTATAACTCACCGGGTATTGTCTCCTCAAATCCCACATGAAGCAGCCAAAATGAAGCTTCGGTCCTTTTTTTATGTCTGCATTGAATCTCTAGAAATGTGAATAACACTTTTCCATTTACATTGAATTGCAGCCAATCCGTCAAAGATGATGGATACGCAGAAGACAAGCCACACTGTTGTTGCAATCGCACACTGGGTCTCACCGAGTCCATTTTGAGTGCCTAATGGAAGCCATCACATTACTATCAAATTGAAAAAATTTGAAAAATAGAATCCTACATTTCACACATTTGCAAGCAACAGGTCTGGATTGGTTTCCCATGAAAATCAAACACTAAAATGTGTTTGTAGTCGATGATGGCTGTTAGTTAAAGATCATCTGTTTCCCTACATGACCATGCTCATCTATATTAATGTACTGGCTTGCTTTTAATTTTACTGCTCATAATGAACCATATATTATATGTTTTTAAAAGGCTGATATATACTTCAGACAACCATCAACAAACCACTAGCCAAAGTAACAAATATCATCTTTAATGCATACAAGTTACTATGTGACTTTCAAGACAGTCAGTGTATGACTAAAAGCTGTCTAACATAACTTCATTCTGCAGTCATCTTGTGTCTAAACGCCTTGTTTACAAGGTTACAGAGGGAATCTAGTAACAGTTTAAATGGATTACCGGGTTACTGATTGCGTACACCTCTACATCTCTAATTCCTGATACAAATCTTGTGTATTCTCTGAATATTTTTCTAACTGACACCTATCAACCATTTTCATCCATCAACAAACCACTAACAAGGATAAAAAAGGATAAAATAAATAACGTTACTGTTATTTGTTCATACACATATGAGGCCTTTATAAAAGGCTTTCATTTGTTGACCCTATATATATATGAATCTCTTAATTCCAAGTTCTTTAAATGTGCAAATGCTGACATGTTTTGGTCTGTGCCAGTGGTTTATTCAGACTGAGTGCTTGCTGCGAAATTGTCATGCAGATCCAATGTATTACTCACAATGAATTACTTCTATCAATGCCAATCCACTGCCATCCAAATGCCATTTAGTTATTAAGACAAACTACCAATGCACAAAGATAACACGACCACTTAATTCCAGCTAATGGTGCTTTTCGTGGAGAGGGAAAAGGGCTCGCATTACCTTGTTTTTGATGTTGCAATGGCAGCAGACCGTCCACAGGTACTTAAGGGTCCTCCACAGGAGAATGATGAAGAGACCCCCAAAGAACGTCACCATGGATGAGGCGAGGAAAGCCCACCACATGCGCTGACCATTGTTGTCACAGGGTACGTCTGGTGAGAACGGGATGATCAGGTCCATCTTCGATATAGAAACAAAAGAGTCCGGTTTTTTATTCAAATTGATATTATTACTCATTCTAGAGCTGCTGCTGCCGCCATATGATCCGTTGCCATCTGCCACAGCTAGCATTGAGATGAAGCTTTGGAGAGCTCCTGCCAGCGCCCCCAACCCCAGCCATCAGCCATATTGCTTCAAATATCCCTCTCCTTTCTTCTATGTTTTTCTATCCACGTCTGCTTAGTGTGATTAATATTTTTGAGCGAGAAATGCAGCAGCTTGGAGAGCGTGAGGAGGAAACGCGCGTCCGTTACCCTCAGCGCGAGACATTTAAATCCGCATTAATGACGACTTCATATTTCATTTTGAAGGGTTTTCCTCGTCTTTTTCCATATCTTCAAAATAAAATGGAGACTAAAACCGATATTCGCGCGGTCTGTGTTGTTATCAGTCAGAAAGCAAGAGTTGTCGTGAGAGAAACGCGGACAAACGGCTGTCTACAAGCTCTCTGTCGTCCATCCAGTGACAGGGTCGCCTCAGCGGCGTCTAATCGATATTTCTCTCATAAACGCCAACTTAATCAATGTCTCCAAAGCTATTCTGCTGGGAACCGAGCCGCTCTTTGTAGTCTTGCGAGGGCTCGGTGGAAGAACCCGTTCAAATATCGGCGTTTCGCCGATTATTCCGCTCTCAATGACATGTCGTTGTCCCCATTCACTTTCCTCAGCTGATCCAGGCAGAGTCCGTCAGATCTGCTCCACAGATTGTTCGGGAGATTTACAGGTAGGAGGGCGGAGCCAAACCCTTATAATAAAGATGGAAGAGAGACCATACGGACATTTTTTATTATTATTATTATTATTAAACGCATCAACATTAGCGAGCATCTTCACATATATTTTTTTTTTTTAAAGGGGGGGGAAACAACCACACAGATTGATAATATTTACAATACATAGGGCCTATAATATTTTACACTAGACATAGACAATTTTCCCATTCTTGATTTGTTTAAGAGGCTGTATTAAAGAGATGAGCTTTTAAAAAGCCTAATAAAGTGGGCTTAGATAGTCTGTATTTAAGCAATAGGCCTATGACACTTCTAATCTGTTGTAATGAAGTGTAACTTGACAAATTACATTTTATAGCTAAATATTGATGATGAAATATAACAAATAAAGGTTGGGCTTCATCATCATTATTATTAGGCCTATTATCATCGTCATCATCATTATTATTATGTGGATACTTATAACACAGATGACAAGATACACTGTGCCTGTACTTGACAGGCTATGAAATGAGACCCTAAAACAAGTCATTTTCAAAGTATAAACATAGATAAAACCCAATGATGTGTAAAAGAGATTTACTGACATCTGTGATTTTTATGGTTATGATTTACGGTCTGAGAGATGCTGTTACTTAACCAAAATAGCAGCTGAAACAGAATCTTTGTAGATGGTTGTCAGTATCAACAGATCATGTCACTCCAAAACATTCCACTGTCTTTATTTTATTTATTTATGCATTTATTTATTTAGGCCTATTTATGCATTTGCTTAGTTATCTCTGTGCATTTATATAAATTGACCACCTAAAATTATAAAATAGTATTTGGTTCAGTTTCATCTTTTGCCGTTTTTGGCCTTTCAGAATTGTGTGTCGACTTTATTCTAGTAACTATTGGATCAGATGTATAATGAAGTGTTCTCCAACAAATGATTAGGCATTCATTTGTCTGATGGTGTGCTTAATGGATCATGTAAGCATGTAAATGTTACAGAGTTTATCTTCCTGCTGCCAGCAGTCATCAGTGAGGACAAATTAAACAGATCTAGTGGCAGTCATGTCATCAACTGCATTGGCCTCTACAGTTCCTGTATCTTCTAAATGAGTGATATCTTTCAGTGATATACTAAACATGATTTTTTTTAGGTGTCTTTACAATTTACTATTTATCTTGAATTTTATTTCCCAAATGAAAGTAATATATAAAATATTACTTTAATATTGAAATATTAAAATAATATTGAAAGAGCAATATATAAAATAAAGTTGCACATTTAATTATATATATTAACGTCTAAACATATAAACAAAAGTGCATTTATTCAGATTTCCATTTTGCTTTCACCATTGTTGAGCAGCAAATAAATGTTCGAACTGTATCTGTTACTTCTCCTCCTACTGGACAACAGCAGAAGTGCAAGTTTAGTGTAAAAAACATTGAGCTTGGTGATTTTGACATTTGCACCTGGAGCAACATGGGTTTCTCAAAATAGCTCCAGTTTCAGGGTTACACTAAGACAGGACAGACCCTGAGTCTTACCCAATAGACATGTGACAGAAATGAATACCACCTTTAAAAAACAATCAATCAAATAGTTGATTTCTCTCAATATGTCCCTATGTGTGCATATTGTGTTGGCAACATATTCCATACTTCTCTTTAGCTGAAACTATATATTCTTGTATCATGTGAGGGGGTCTTTTAGTGGTTTTCCATCTCAACACAGATAGCCGTCTGTTCTAGTAGGCCACCAGTTAGTAGGGTCTGGATCTTGCAGACCCGGCCTCTCAGTGGTGTTATTTATGGAGGGCAATAGGATCCACGACTGGTCGTCTTCCTGGAAAACATGCCCAGCTGTCAGCTTAGACGTCTAAAGAACTGGTTCCTGCAAGAGCCGCATCAAACAACAGCATAGCTGACAGATGCTAAGCTTAATTACACAGACATCCACAGGAACTTTATTTCAATGCTGGAAGAGAAGAGCACACTTTTATTATGCTGAGGCCGAACATTTTTTCATTAGTTGACCACTCAGGTTCTAGTACTAGCTCTCAAGTTCAGAAGAGCTGTCAGCGAAACATATACGCCAGCAGGAGACTCGACCCTTTCTAAAAAAAAAAGAGGAAGGGGACTTGAAGGACGTGTTGCTTTCGGGGTGAAGCTTCAGAATGCCACAAAGGGCTTCCCGTGGCTGAGAGAGGAAGCTCAGGACAAGAAATCAGCACGAGCCAAATGAGGACGCGCTTGGGGGAGGAGCTTGACTTCTCATGACTGAACTGTGATAATCAGCGCTGGCATGGCCGAGGGCATCTTCAGTGCTACACACCACACTAATCCTTTACGAAGGAAATGTGCCGTCGTACCGCCAGTGACCTCTCTGTCAGGAGAATGTTTGCTAGGGCTTACCTGACGACTCCTCTTTCTCGTTTGAAGGGCAGCTGACAACAAGGAGGAATGTGTGGCCAGAAGCACACTATTATTCAATGCCCGTTTAAAGCAGCATATTATGATAATTAAGTCTTTGGCTACAGTTTTGAAGCCTGTTTCACAAATGATTAATGTGCAAGTGATAGCCTTTGCTGCTAATATGTAAATTAATTGCATGCGTTTTATTATAGTATCGTTATAGTACACACTTGAAACATTGATTGCTAATGGACAGTTGAGATCAAATGATTTAAACTGGTAAGCTTAAAAATAATAGTTCACCCCCCCCCCCAAAAAAAAGGAAAATTAATATTTACATACTCTTTAACATTTTTTCCCATGGAACACAAGACTTTTATATATATATTCGGTGACATTTTACAATAAAAAAATCTGTCAGTTTGTTAATATTAGTTAATGCGATAACTTGAGCTAAAAATGACCAAGTATATTATGGCATTTATTAAATTAGGTCAATGTTATATGAACAGATGTTTGTTCATAGTACATTAATTTACTTAAAATGTGATAAATGTATCTCTATCAGTTTTGTATATACAGGTGCATCTCAATAAATTAGAATGTCGTGGAAAAGTTCATTTATTTCAGTAATTCAACTCAAATTGTGAAACTCGTGTATTAAATAAATTCCATCTATTTGTACCTATCTATATTTACATCCACTTATCGGTCTGTATCTACGTCTATATCTACATCCGTTTATGTCGACATCTATCTGACTGTATTTACATCTGTCTATATATCTATATCCATCCGTCTATACTTATATCTATCCATCTATCTATTCAATCTACATCCGTCCATCCATCTTACGATATCTCTCTATATAATCTATCTATCTCTCTATAAAATCTATCTATCCATCTATCTATCTATCTATCAGGTGGATGTAGTTGTAGACAGACAGATACACGAATGTTGATACAGACATGGATTTTGTCTATATCTGCATCTATGTCGATAGGCTACCTATGTTTGTGTATCTGTCTACACCTACATCCAACTGCCTGTCTACTGCTACATCTATCTATATTCACACACCTATGCGTTTATAACATCTGTCTATCTACACTACATATCTTTACATCTGTCTCTGTCTGTCTATCTATGCTAGAACTATAATTCAGAAATACATGCAGTTAAAGCTACACAGCCTTCACCAGTGCCATCAAGGCAAGTTCAAATGACATAGTGCTGTAGTGTTCTACTCGGTCAGCTGATGGTCTGATAAAACAACTTTTTTTTGACAAGAATTTTTTGCAAACAATAAGAAAATGTCACATCTCGTCAGGTTTAACAGCCCCATGCACCCCAAACAGCAGCTGACAGCCTTACAGACGCAGCTATTGTCTGAGAGCTCACCTTAGTTCCAGTAATTAACACCATATCTTCCCCATGGTTAGACGCAGTGCATCAGCTTCAAGGAGGAGCAACAAATAAGACAGCTCCACACTCAATTACAGCACGTCAATCTGCCGTAGATGCAACCGGCGCTGCGGAAGCAGCTGTATGACACCCTTAATATGATGGAGATCTCAGCCCGCAGCACAATGAATACACCCATCAATCAAACACACCATCGTGATTCATTTAATGACATTGTGAGATACAGAAAATGACTTTTATTCTCGCATTAATAACGTTTTCATCCAAATCACATTCTTTTAGAATAAAAGAAATCCCAATGGAAACAGTACCTGTGTTTTAATCGTAATATAAATACTCTGTGGTGATGAATCCCTCGTGTAAAACCGTATGCTAGCTATTCAGAATAATAGTTAGGCATTAGATTCACTTTTAAAAAATGTCTAATTTCAATGGACTGATTATCTTACCGTGAAAAAAAAATGTAAAAAGAAATCCCTTTTTATGCAGCGTTTCACTTTTTTTCTTTG